ATTTTTTTAAAAATGTTATTTATTCATGTATATGAGAGCTCTGTCTTCATGAACACCAGAAGAAGGAATCTGATCCCACTACAGATGGGTGTGAGCCATCGTATGGGTGCTGGGAATTGAACTCAGTGTAGGGTAAAAGGGACAACTGGGGCAGGAAACCAACCAATCTCTGAGCACCCTGACTCTGAACCCAGAGTCAGAGAAAGAAACATCTTTATGTATTTAAGGCCTGGGCCAGGAAAAGAAACATTTTTATCCCTGTACTCAGAACTAAAGACATGTGCCCTGGCTCTGACTAGTGTCAAAGAAACACACTTTGTCCCTGGAATTAGAGCCAGTGAAAGGAATATGCCCTAGTCCTAAGATTATAGTCAAAAGGCTAAAAAGGACCAGTGAAAGAAACGCAGTCTGGGCATGAAGTAAGAGCCATATCTGCTCCTAAACCAATCAGCTAAACTGACCAATCCCTGAGCAGGGAAAAAAATTAACCAATCCCCTTCCTCCTTGGAAAAACTCCGTCCCTAAGAGCCCCTCTATAAGCCTCTCCACCCCTTCATTTGAGAGCAGAGGCAGCCACTGTCCTCAACTCCTCCTTCCCAAATAAGTCTCTTTCTCAAAAGAATCTTGGGTGACCTTCATTGGCTGGTGCAGAGAAGAACCTGGCTGGGACATCCCTTAGGGGACGGAGCTGAAAAACCTTGTTGAGACGCTTCCTAGAGGTCCTCAGCAAGGCGGAGCAGAACAGAAGAATCTTGCTAGGATGCTTCTATGGGGGCTGAGCAAGGGCCAGCAGAGGAAAAGTAACAACTTTTTTGCAGGAGCTGGAGAGATTGCTACATTTCTGCAGGGGGTTTCCCCCAGCAGAGTGTTAGCAGAAGAAACATCTTGGGTAGAAGAAGCAGATTGCACTGCTAGGATGTTCCAGTAAGGGAGCAGAGCAGAACCCAGCTGTAGCGGCTCTCCAGGAGTAGGATCCCCATATCCTGCGGGGAGACCATCCCCCACCGCACCCCAGCTTCAGGTATTCTGACTTCCTGATAGTCAGGGTACCTTTCTCTCAGGGCTGAGCTGTACCATTGCAGCTCCAGCCTCCAGAGCTGTCCTATTGCAGCTCTAAGTATAAACTGGCTTTCTGTAAGTCAGGATATCCCAATACCACTATGTACCACATTCCCCTACACTCAGGACCTCTGGAAGAGCAGTCAAGTGCTCCTAAACGCTGAGCCATCTCTCCAGCCCTGATCTTTGATCATTGTGTGTGTGATGTATGTATGTTTATGTACATATGTATTGTATGTATGTATGTATGTATGTATGTATGTATGTATGTATGTTTATGTATATATGTACAAGCTCACTCTGTGACAAGGTGGCCTCAAACTCAGGGAGATCTGCCTTCCTCTGCCTCCTTGGAATTAACAGACAGGTACCACTCCATCAGGCCTTTTTATGATTTATTTATTTTATGAGTGTTTAGCCTGTATGTATGTGTGTGCTGGTGGAGGTCAGAAGAGGGAATTACTGTTACAGATGGTGTGAGCTGCCATGTGGGTGCTGGGACAGAGCCAGGGTCCTCTGGAAATGTAGAAAGTGCTCTCACTTTGTAGCCCAGGCTGGCCTCAAACTCAGATCTGCCTGTCTCTGCCTCCAGAGTGCTGGGATTAAAGGTGTGCACCACCATGCCTGGTTTGTGGCGAGGCAGCACATCTCAGCAGGAATGTGAGCTATTTATTTCATGGCCAAGACATGAGACAAAGAAAGGGAAAGGCTTCAGGATGTAGCCTTCAAGGACTTTCTCTTTAACTGTGTTTTTACCCCTCTTCCCAATAGTCCCTTAGTATAGCATCCAGTACCCCTGTCTCGCAGATGGCAGGCCTTTCCCACACGAAGTGTCTGTGTGGCTGTTCCCTCTGTCTGAAGTACCTTCTACTGTCCCTTCTCAGCTGTCTGTACCTCCTCCAAAGAGCCTCTCCTGACTACAGTCTTGTTCTCCCATTGGTGTCCTGCACACTTTGCACACTCTTCTGTAGTTGTGAAAATCCAAGCTGATGCTGTCTTCGGACAAAGCAGACAATGGCATTCTTCCTCAAATGCTTTCTTCTATCAGCTAAAAACTTTTTTTTTCCTTTTAAAAGACAGAGTCTCATATAGTCCAAGCTAATTTTGAACTCGTTAAGTAACTGAAGATGACCTTAGCTCTGCAATCCTCTTTCCTCTTTTTCCTGGGTGCTGGGATACAGGCATGTTCCACCACGCCTGGCTGAACAATTCTTATAGGATATGCCAACCTATGACATATACCGTGTATAGAGTAGGGAAACTCTGATAAAACCAGATAGGGCAGCTGAATAGTGGTGGTGCACGCCTTTAATCCCAGCACTCAGGAGGCAGAGGCAGACAGATCTCTGTGTCTTTGAGGCCAGCCTGGTCTACAATGCAAGTTCCAGGACAGTCAGGGCTATTCAGAGAAACCCCGTCTTCAAAAACCAAAAATGGGAGAGATGGAGAGATGGCTCAGCAGTTAAGAGCATTGTCTGTTCTTCCAAAGGTCCTGAGTTCAATTCCCAGCAACCACATGGTGGCTCACAACCATCTCTAATGAGGTCTGGTGCCCTCTTCTGGCCTGCAGACATACATGTAGACAGAATATTGTATACATAATAAATAAATAGTTAAAAAAAAAAACAAAAACCAACATAATAACAAAAAGCAGATGGGGCACCTTGAGGGAGCTTCTGCGGACTGGCCACTGTTCCCAAAGTTTCATTTAGGAAACTTGACCCTACAGGGGAGTAAAATGCTACACTCCAGAATCACAAGAAGTAGGCCACATATTGGTCCACACACTAAATGAATGTTATATAAGGAATCTTGCTGGAAGACACTGGAGACCTAAGAGACAGCCTGCCTCCTGGGTCTAGCTGGCACTACAACTGTTTGGATCAAGGTCTAGAGCCTCTGCCCCAAGTCAGACAGAAGATCCGTCTCCTAGTGCTCAAGAGTGGCATTAGTCTCTGGACCCAAGTATTTTTGAATCCAGAGTAGTACTTTGTTGAACTTGGACCATATAAACGAGGCCATGCCCAGGGGCCAGGGAGCACAGGAGAGGCCCGTCAAGGTAGATACAAGGCAAGTCTGAATTTTCTTCTTTTTTCTTTTTTTTTTAAAGTTCATTTTATGTACATTGCTGTGAAGGTGTCAGATCCCCTGGAACTGGAGGTACAGACAGTTGTGAGCTGCCATGTGGATGCTGGGAATTGAACCCAGGTCCTCTGGAAGAGCAGCCAGTGCTCTTGACCACTGAGCTACCTTTCCAGCCCCCAACATGTCTGAATTTTCTATAGCAACCAAGGGCAAGACAAAGATATTCATTGCAGAGGCATGACCGAAGGCTAGAGCTACAGGAAGGTGGTAGAATAGGAAGTGCTTTCCAGGCATGGGGACCAGAGGACACTGTCTTCATGGATGGCCTTGAGTCTAGTACAATACTTTATTGCTGTTTTGCAGCAGAAACCTAATTATAGCACTGCATGACACGAATTATTGCTCCTTCCAGAGTTCTGCTGGTGAAAAGAGGGTGCTACAGAAACAGGGCCTTTCAAACTCAAAGTGTGTTGACATTTGGTCTATAACTGTCGAGAGGAGGGAGGGAGGGAGGGAGGCTCTGGGCTGGATGTGTGCTCTTGTTCTTGGGGATGGAATTAATTTCTGAGAGTGTGCCATATTGTTTCGTTTTTTCCTCTTTTGTCTTCCTACACATGTCCTTTGGCCATGAGGACTTCACCCGAAGCTAAGCAGAAGCTGGAGCCATGCTCTGAGCCACCAGAACTCTGATTTCTCCTTCATATGCTATGGAGTCGTGGGTATTTTGTTATACTAAGCGTAAACAGATAATAAGATGGAGTTTCATGAAGCCTGCCAACCAGCCACGACCACCTCCCTTGCCCAAACAAGCCAACCATTGTCTCATTGGAAAATAAAAGCTGATAGCAAAGTCTCACTTTCCATTCTTTTGGGAGAAGGTCCAAAGGGTCAGCCTGTGGCATGTGACCTTCAATATTTGAGTGACACTGGACACTGCACATGTGGGCAGATACTGAAGCTGCAGGGTCTGGGTTCAAATCCCGGCTTTCAAGCTGTGTGGCAGGATCGCTGAGCGTAGGCACAGCTCCATCATGTGGGAAGTAGTGTTTCCTTCACCAATCAATTCAAGCAAAGCTCGAAGAGAGTAGCGGGCCATGTGAGCTGCTGTTTTGTTACTTGCCTAGCTACTTCAAGGTAGCTCTAGAGAAAGCAACAGAATTCCTAGTTCTCATTTTTGTTTGTTTTGGGGGACAGGGTCTCACTATATAGCTCCGACTAGCCTAGAACTATGTAGGCCAAGCTGCTTTCAAATTCAAACACTTGCCAGTTAGTGCTGGGACTAAAGGCATTTGCCACCACATCCTGTCAGAGTTTCTGTGGAAAGGGGGTGTCCAGTGGTGAAGTCAAGGTTTTCCAGGGGGAGGAAACACTGGAGTTAAGCCTCACCCCTTGCCTGAAAGTGACCCTGCTCCCAGCCTGTCAACACCGTGTGGCAGTCCCAGGTTTGCTTCTGACTCAGTCCCTAGGAGCTCCTTGAGGTTTGAGGCCCTATCTTCCCTGTTCATCTGCATTCCCAAACTTGATGCTAGGGAAATGTGGTTGAACTGATGAATAGAAGCATTTGGTCAAATAAGTGGGGCTCAGAAGGCTTTGGTCACTGTGGGTGTGCCAGGTCAAAGGACCGAGAAAGGGTGTGGAGCTTGATGAAGTCTGGGTTCAGTCACAGCATCTCAAAGATCTGCCTCATCCTCAAGCCCGGAGTTTCTAGCTTTCAATTACTGACATACACCCGGCATAATTTAAAGTTATTTTATTAAAAAAGAAGAAGAGGTGGAGGAAGAAGAACCAAACAAAAAGCCCAACCCAAGAACTCTTGGTTCTGGGTGACTGGGAGCAGCTTAGGTGTCTAGGGAAGGTAGAACCTGGAAGACAGTAGGGGACCTCTGCAGCCCTGGGAAGAACAAACGCTCAGGTACTGACAGGAGGCACGGCCATTTTCCCAGGCCTCAGGCCCTCTCTGGGGTGTGTGGTCATCCACTTCACACAGGTGGGGGCTCAGCCCCCAGAAAAAGGCAGGGTGGGCAGTATTGAAACGCCCTTGGATCTCTTGTCAAAGTCACCAACCAGTTGGGAAGGAGGAGCGGGTGGCCCATCAATGCCATCCCAGAAAGTGGGCTTCAGGCAACACCGGGGTGGCAGGCTCAGATGCAGATAGATGCACCTCATTTGGACACAGGGCTCGAGCCCGTGGAGAATAAAAGGGCCCTAATGGAGCAAGCCCTGAGTACAGGAGGCGGACAGAACTCAGGTAGCCTGGGGGATGCGGGGCAGTGCTCGGATGGGCCGAGGGGGAGGGTTATCCAGGACCGGTTCTGGCCTCCATCGCACACCGCCTCGGCGCTTCTGCTTCCGCAACAGATAGTTTGAATATTGCACCTCAGGCATAGCAAGCTTGAGGCAGGCCTCCGTGGTGGGGTCGGCACCGCGGCCGCCAGGCAGGTCGTAACCCATGATGTCCACTTTGCGGCTGGGCTGCCAGGGCTGCAGCTGCTTGGTGCGAATCTGGGCGGCGGGTCGCAGCACCGGCTCGTCGCCGAAGCACCGGCGCAGCAGGCGCTGGCGGGCCTCCCGCAACTCGCGCGCCTCGCGCTCGACGCATGTGCGGCCAGCGCGCGCCACGCGGCGCCAGAAGGTGGCGTTGAAGTGGTCGTAGAGGCCCGCGTCGAGCGCGTTCCAGGCGCGCGCGGCCCGGGCCAGCGCCTCGGGGATGGTGGCCAGGCGTGAGGTGGCGGCGCGCGCGTTGAGCTTGGCGTAGAGCACGTCGTCCAGGTCCCAGGCCAGCAGGCGCCGCAGCAGGACCAGCGACTCGTCGAAGTACTCGGCGATCATGACGAGCGAGAAGACCTCCTCCACCTGGCGGATGAGGCCCGCCAGGTAGGCCGCGTCGTCGCGAGGGCTGCGCTCGTTGTCGCCTCCCAGGTCGTAGGCCAGCGTGTTGTGCGCAAACATGGCGAAGTGCTCACCGGGACGGTAGTAGGCCTCGGGCGCGCGCAGGAAGGCCTCGAGCGACGCGTTGGGCACGCGCCGGAAGGCCGGGCAGTACTGGTTGTAGTAGCTGAAAAGCGACTCGAACATGGCGGCGGGCTCGCGCAGGATGGTGACGTAGACGGTGTCCGGCGGCATGAGGCGCTCGAGCTCTGCGCGGTCGAAGCGCAGGTGGCTGGCCAGCATGTGCGGGGGCCGCGTGGCCGGGTGCACGAAGTGCGCCGAGAAGTTGCGCGGGTAGCAGAACTGGTGCTCGCAGCTCGGATGAGGCAGGGCCACCGTGAGGTTGTGGCGCTCGGCGAAGCGGAACAGGATGTTCTGCACCGTGGTACCCGCTGTCTTGTGAGTCTTCAGGAAGGCCACGGCCGTGTGCTTGGCACGGGGTGGCGATTCTCGCAGAGGCGGGCAGCTCAGAGGGAACAACTTGGGGTACCTGCAAAGCCCAGGGTGTGTGGGAAGAGAAAATGCAGAGGTGCGGCGATGTTGGGGGACCAAATGTGGCCAGTGTGCAAAAGTGGACGGGCATGGGCTTTATTCTGCGATAGAAGTCAAGTGGCAGGTAACCTTTAAGATGGGCCCTATGAACGAACACTTGCTGCCTCTTCAAGAGGACCCGGGTTCAATTCCCAGGACCCATTTGGCCACAATTGTCTTTAACTCCAATCTTGTAGGACTCTATGCTCTCTCTGGCCTTATATGGCACTGCATGCAAAATAGCCCATCTACAATACAAATAAAGGTTTTTTTTGAGGGGGGAAGAGGGAGGGGGTAGTAAACTGGGGAGTGTGGTGGTGTCTTTAATTCCAGCCCTTGGGAGGCAGAGGCAGGTGGATCTCTGTAAATTCTAGGCCAGCCTGTAGCTCAGAGATCAGCCTGCCTCCACCTCCGAGTGCTGGGATTAAAGGCCTGCACCACCACCGGGCTATTTTAATTTTTTTTTTTTTAGATTTTTCAAGACAGGGTTTCTCTGTGTGTAGCCCTGGCTGTCCTGGAACTTGCGCTGTAGACCAAGCTGGCCTCAAACTCACAGAGATCTTCCTGCCTCTGCTTCCTGAGAGCTGGGATTAAAGGACTGCACCAACACCGTCCAGCCAGGATAATTTTTATTAGAAGGAGGCAGGCAGACCGTGGGCAGTTAGCTAGAAAACATATGATGACAGTCTCAAAGAAACTTGAGAACCGACTCCATCAGCCTGCTTGAAGAACTAAAGTCTGCAAACTCTCTGAACTTTTTCAGATCCCTTTCAGTCAGTCCTTCAGAAAAGACTATATGTCTGGAAGACACCTTAATTGAAAATCTACAAAAGACCTGGAATCAGGAGTTCTTAGCCACATTTGGATTCATGACTCAAAGAAATGGAAAGAGAATAAATGTTTTTTGTTTTCAGTAGCTGTTTTGTGGACTTGGTTTTTTAATTTTTATTTATTTAGCACACATGTGTGTATACACGTACACAAAAAGTACTATGGCATGCATGTGGAGATCAGAGGACAGTTTTGTAATTTGTTCTTTCTACCTTGTTGAGGCCAAGACTAGTTTCTGTCTCTGTACTGAGTAGGTCAGGTTACTTGGACTATGCCCTTCTTGCTGATTCTCTTGTCTCCATCTCCCATATCTCCTTAGGAGTTCTGGGATTCGAAGCTGGAGAGATGGCTCAGTGGTTAGGAGCTTCCAGAGGACCCGGGTTCAATTCCCAGCATCCACATGGTAGCTCACAACTGCCTATAACTCCAGTTCCAAGCTTCTGACACCCTCACACAGACATACATGCAGGCAAAACATCAATGAACATAAAAATTATATGTTAAGAAAAAGAGTTCTGGGATTATCCAGGCAGTGGTGGTACACACTTTACTCCCACTCTCGAGGCAGAGGCTGGCAGATCTCAGTGAGTTAGAGGCAGTCCTGGAATACATAGTTCCAGGACAGCCAGGGCTACATAAAGATACCTTGTATTAACAAGAAAGAAAAAAAAGTTGTGGGATTCAAGATGTGAGTCATCACATGTGCCCTTTGGCAAGCTTGGGATCTGTGGCTGGAACTCCTGGCATCAAGTTTACTTGGAAAACACTTTCACCTGCTGAGCCATCTCCATTTCCTCTTGGGAAACAGAGGCAGGTGAATCTCTGTGAGTTCAAGGCCAGCCTGGTCTACTAGAGCTAGTTCCTGGACAGGGCCTAAGGCTACAGGGAAACCTTGTCTCAAAAAAACAAAAGGAAAAAAAAAAAGAGGAAGAGGGAAGAAGAAGAGGAGGAGGAGTTAGTCTGTAACCCTGGCAAGCCTGCTGAGGCTGTGTTGCTCAGTCTGCTTTTGAATTTGTGGTCCTGCCTCAGCCTTCTGAGTGTGGGAATTACAGGCCTGCTTCACTAACACCTAGCTTAAGTTTTTATTTTTATTTTATTTTTTAAAGATTTATTTATATACAGTGTTCTGTCTGCATGCCACAAGAGGGCATCAGACCCCATTATGATGGTTGGTTTTTTTTTTTTTGGTTTTTCGAGACAGGGTTTCTCTGTGGTTTTGGAGCCTGTCCTGGAACTAGTTCCTGTAGACCAGGCTGGTCTCGAACTCACAGAGATCCGCCTGCTTCTGCCTCCTGAGTGCTGGGATTAAAGGCGTGCGCCACCACCGCCCAGCCTATTATGATGGTTGTGAACCATCAAGTGGTTGCTGGGAATTGAACTTGGGACCTCTGGAAGAGCAGCAGCCTGTGCTCTTAACCTCTGAGCCATCTCTCCAGTCCTCTTTGCTAAGTTTTAAAGTTAAAGTGTTTTGAGATATTTTCACTGTGTAGCCTTGGTTGTCTTGGAACTTGCTGTGTAGAATGGGCTGGCCTTGAATTTAAAGAGATCCCCCTGCCTCAGCCTCCCAAGTGCTGAGATCAAAGGTGTGTATCACCATCACCATGCCTGGCTTTATCTAATGTATTTTTTTTTCCTGAGGCAGGGTTTCTCTGTGTAACCCTGGGTATCCTGGAACTCGATTTGTAGACCAGGCTGGCGTCAACCTCAGAGATCCACTTACCTCTGCCTCCCGAGTGCTGGGATTAAAGTTGTGAACTACCTCCACTGGCCTAAGGTAAATTTTAAATGTAGAAATAGTGTAAGGGCCAACAGTCCTTGGAGATCCTTGAGGGATCTTACTTTAAGTGTATAGAAATTGAGGACTCAGTCACCAAATATTTTTCTGTCTTCATTCTCATTTCTTTAACTAGTTGATCCCTTTCGGTGTGTGTGGGTTAACCTCAAACTTTGCAGCAATACATTGGTTGTTGTTCTTACATGTTTCTATTAAGGTCTTTGGAGACCTGTTCATTTATTTATATGTGCATTTCTTGAGCTTTTGCTGTGTGCTAAGGTATCATTCTAAACCTAAGTATAGCCCTGATGCCGTTTTCACCTCTGTTCTTTGATCCTGCAGCAAGGACGTTTGGAATTACTGGTTACCTATTAGATGGGGACAGGCTTTGACTCACTCCTGATTATTCTCTGTTGTCCAAGCATCAAGTGACAAGGGCAGCTCTAAGCGGCTTGAGAACACCATGGGGATTTCCTGTACGTAGCTGGTTTGGGCTCAGGATAATGTCTATACAAACATCGTCTATAAAACCAGCAAATCCTTTGGCAAGGATTTATACTATTTATACTATTCTCAGGAATACAGGGGAAATTGACACCTTGAAACGTCTAGGGATTTGGTGGGTTTACACAGGGAATCAGGAACAGAGACCAATTCTTTTTTTTTTTTAATTTTTAAAATTTTTTTTTTTATTTTCAAGACAGGTTTCTCTGTGTAGCTCTGGAACCTGTCCTGACAATAGTTCTGTAGACCAGGCTGGCCTCAAGCTCACAGAGATCCGCCTGCCTCTAACTCCCGAGTGCTGGGAATAAAAGCGTGCGCCCAGCACCAATTCTTATTGTTTGGTGCCCTCTATTGGAATGACCAGAGGCTCACACATTGTATAGTTGAGGGCATGATCTTAGAAACGGAGGCCTATGCCCTAAGTAATGGACTAGGAAATTGTTTGCAGGATTTAGGATTTAGTGCAGTTGGTAAAATACTAGCCTAGCATTCTTGTGGCCATGGGTTTGATCTCTAGCACTTCATAAACTTGGTGTCTAAGTGTGGTAGTACACACCTGTATCCCAGCACTCAGGAGATGGAGGTGGGAGGATCAGGAGCTCAAGGGCAGGTAGGTTTAGTGGTGCGTGCCTTTAATCCCAGCTCTAAAGAGGCAGAGGCAGGTCAGTCTTTGAGTTTGAGACCAGCCTGCTCTAAAGAGTTCCAGGAGGAGCTTTTAGGTTGCAAAAGAGAGCTTTAAAAAGAGCTATGAAGATAAGCAACTGCACCCAAAAATAAAATAAAATAAAATAAAATAAAATAAAATAAAATAAAATAAAATGGGCTACGAAGAGAGACCCTGTCTCAGGAGAATGAACAACAGAAAATGCTGCTGGTGCCCTTGAGGAAGCATTCAGCTGTGATGCTGTAGGAAAGACTCAGGCTAGAGTCAAATCTTGGATAATGATTCTGTGACTGAACAGTTCACTCACTCTTACAGAGTTCAGTCGTAGCCCGGCTGGCTCTAGAGCAGTGGTTCTCAGCCTGGGGGTCAAACGACCCTTTCACAGGGTTCACCTAAAGCCACTGGAAAACACGGATAGTTGTATTATGATTCATAACAGTAGCAAATTTACAGTTATGAAGTAGCAACAATAATTTTATACTTGGAGGTCACCACAACATGAGGGACTTTATTAAAGGGTCGCAGCATTAGGGAGGTTGAGAACCACTGCTCTAGAGGATATGTATGGAAAATACTTTTGGATTACAGGCAGGGAGGAAAGCCCAGAGAAGCCTTTTGGTTGCTCTGGACTACAGTTCCTCCTATGGGGCCATCCATACCCCCTCAATGAAATCTCCCCACTTACCAACTGAGCTGCGACCCCTGGTGGATGAGGAGGCTTATCGTGCTGCACCCTAGTACCAGTAGGAGGAATTTCCTGCGGCTCATCATCGAGGTGGACTGTTGCAGGCACTGGAGGATGGGTGGCATGCTGGAGTGCTCACTCCTGGACCAGCCAGGTCTTCACTATCCAGGACTTCCGTTACCAGCACTCATGGGGGGTCTTGGGGCTCTGGTAGCAGGGCCAGTGTTTCTGAAAAGCCTGGCAGAACAAGGAAACAGACAGGTTTGCAGTGGACAGAGGAGCTATGCTCCAGGCTTAGTAGGACTTCGGCAAAAGAGAGCTTAAATGCGTGGGGTGGACAGAGATGCCAGAGCGGATCGAATTCCACCTCCATCACCAAGACCCTATCACCTCACTGTCCAGATAAACTCGTGTTGGGTGGAATTACAGGTCTGGGATGTGTCCAGCCATCAAGACTAAAGCCGTTCTGTCTCTTGAGCCCTGTGTGTTTACCTCTCTGACTGTGTCTAACTTGTCTCTGTCATTTGAATCTAGCTCTGCAGGTCTGCCATCAGCAATAACCTGTGGCTCAGGACACAAGCCTCAGTCCAAGATCTCTCTTTCAGATTTCTCATCATCTGACACTTTGAGCTAAGGGGTTCCTGGGTTCCCTGAGAATAAACTCGGAAACAGCCAACCCTCATCTCCTTCAGTTGGATTAGTGCTACAGGCCTGCTATATTACGACTAACTCCTAACACCACATAGGTACTCCCACTAAGCCAGTGATGAAATGGGGTGCTAAGTGATGATGGTCACTTGTTCATCGTCACAAAGCCATTTATAGCAGACTGGGAACTCAACGTTACTCTTATTTCAGTTTTTCAAAAGACAGATGAGTCTTACTTTGATAATCCTGACTGGTCTGAAGCTTGCTATGTAGTCCAGGATTCCAGGATGACCTCAAACTCAGATATCCACCTGCCTCTGCTTCCTGAATGCTGAAGTGTAACTTTATGTGAGCTGTTCCCATTCAAAACTGACTTGTTCAAGCTAGAGAGATGGTCCAGTGGTTAGAAGCACTGGCTGCTCTTCCAGAGGATCCAGGTTTGATTCTTAGCACCCATATGGTGGCACATAACTTTGTGTAACTCCAGTTCCAGGAGATCTGACACCCTCTTATAGACTCTGCAGGTACAAAGCATGCACATGGTGCACAGACATACATGTAGGCAAAACTCCCACGCACATAAAATAAAAAATAATTTAAGGAAACCTTATTTTTCATCCCTGCCTGGCCTGGTAATTCTGCATGCTTCTGCGCTCTGAGCCCTCCTGCTTGTCTCACTGCCTGAAGGGCCTGGAACTAAATCCACAGGGAAAGGACTTTAACCCTGTCTGGATTCAGTATCCAGACATCCAAAAAGGTGACTCCATCAACTGACTGGTGCAGGTGCTTGGCCAAGGCAAAGGGAAAAACAGCCTGGGTGGAATGGGGCAGGGGTAGGGGAATAAAGATACATCTCTGAGGATTTCCAGCAGGAGATAAGCCTTCATTCTAGGGCAGGAGAGGGAGAGAGGCAAGAGAAGGGCTTGGTTTTTGTCCAGGCTTTCTTTCTTTTCAAGAGTGTGTTGGCAGTTCAGGTTCAACATTAGCTCCTGCAGCCATGCCTGCTCCCAGGCCAGGGTGGGTCTGTTTTACTCCTGGGTGCCTTGCAGGTTCAGACTCCGCATCAGGCCTCACACTACTCTCTTGGAAGGGAAGGAGGGTATGTAGTCTTAGGAGAATATGCATGGATATGGAACTAGGACACCTGGTCCCAGGAGGAATGAGCTAACGCTGGCTCTGGGCTTGGCTTACAGTTTCTCTCTTTTGTGCCCCCTCCCCTGTTAATCCCAGATTACCCATAAATCTATCTAGGTGGAAAGATGTCCTGTTTACAGTTCCCTTTATTTCTACATCCTATCTTCCAATTTCTTCCACCAGTCTGGGAGACAGTATCATCTTGGAGCTGAGAGAGCCAAGGGTCTGGCCACAGGGCAACCAAGGACACAGCAGAGGCAGCCTAGGTCCTCCCTAACTTTGGGGATTTCTTAGGCAGAGCAGGGTTCATCTCCAGTAGGAGGAAGTCAAGTTCTTGGGCCTTTGAGAATTCAGAGTTTCTCTCTGTCACAAGTCCTGCTTGGAGAACTTGGTGACCAGATGGTTTCCCAAGAGATAATTAGAGGGCAAGTCTATTTCTCTCTTAAACATACTGAAACCACCTTATTTTTCAGAGGAGTCTGAGTCAGCCAAGGAGGCCAAGTGTATGGGGAGCCACATGGGTCTTTTCCTAGTCATGGAGAATGGTGGTGCTGCCTGGTACCCCATCCATTCTACTAACAGGACTTTATCCACTGACTACAAAGCTTGGATCTGGGGAGCCAGCCAGTTTGCTATCTAAGGTATGCAAGGGGAACCGGCCTTCATCAGTATAGGAATTCCCTAGGCACCAGTCCCCAGGGATGGGAACACCGGGGATTTTGGCCACTGGCAATGATAGGCTGCTTATCACCTCCAGATACAGCCTAGTCCATTCTTGCCCACAATCCCAAGAACTGCTCCGGGGCTGTAAGGACCAGTCACCCTGCCTTGTGACATTCTCCTAGGCTTGGCTGCCCTTTTGTCTCCTATTCTGTGCTGTAGCAGGTACCACTTTTCAGAGCACAAGGCAGATTTTTTTCCCTCATGACAGACATTCAGGTATTTGAAAGCAAGAACCATGTATCCTGCATATGGAAACCATTCCAGGTCCAGAGAGATAGTAGGATTTGGATACTGGAGCAGGCAGTCCTGCCTTCCTTGGGCCAGGTCATTTCTGTTGTGGAGGACTTAGCAGTGAGGGCCTGGAAGAGATCCCTGGGCTGAGTTTTCCTCTGGTCTTGAGGCTGAAGTGAATTGGTGGCCATGCTGCTGGTGCTCAGCTTTGGAGGGATGGGGCTGGCTGCTGCCCAGAGAGGCTTCACCTAGTCCCTATCTCCAGTGTCTTTTCTATGGCGAGAAAGAGGTTCCCTCACCTCCCCAGCAGGTCAGGGTGCCAGCCTTATCAGAATAGCAATGCTAATTTTAGTCAGAGCAATCTACCTCAGGCTGCTGCCCAGTTTTGTAAATTGCTTTCTTTTCCCTGGGGAATCAAAGAAGAAATGGTATTGCCAGCTAGAGCTCTGAAAACTAACCCAGATGTCCACCCTTCTCCCAAATGATCTCTTTCTCATCTCCCCTCAGAGCTCTAGGGCTGATGCTAATGTCCTTGGAGAAGTGGCTCGGAGGCCTGGACCATTGGGATCTGTCCTCTCAGTGATGTGGAGTTTTAACCTGACTTGGGGCATGTCATATCCCAGGTCACACAGGTCCCCAAGAGAAAAGGGCCGAGAGGATAAAACAATAGGGCCTAAGAGACTGAATATCTTTCCATCCCTTTCCCGCTGTTCCAGGTTTCCCCAGTCTCTGCTCTGTTATCCACCTCCGCTTTTATCCATGCCTCTGAATTCTCTTCATTCTCCTTTCTCCATCACTACCCACTCCCACCCCCACCGCGCCCCACATTTCCTCCCAATCGCTCCTAGAGATCTGGTCACTATAGGGAATAGGCCAGATTCATCCCCTTCCTTGCTTCCTGAGGGTGCCGTGCCACCCCTCAAGCTCTCTTGGCACTAGGCCCCCAAGATAATCTTTTGCAACTGCCCAGGCTCCCATCCCTTTTGCAGTGCACCCTTGTTTCCTCCAGCCCTGGCTGGCTACTGCAGTACTCACGCAGGCAGGCTCTGTCTCCAACTTGGGTAAGGGGCTACCCTCCACTCCTCTGGGTTCCTTTTCCTGAAATCTGCCCGGGTCTGAAGGTAACGGGGCCGTGAACGTCTGTGCCGGTAGCTTGCCTTGCTGCGCCTGGATGGGATCAGGTGGCAGCGTCTGTGTCTGTCCGCTCAGCTCAGCTCTGCCTGCCGCCCGCCCCCCATCTCACACCGGAGGCGGGGCGGGGGCGGGGGCCCGGTGGCTCAGGGGAGGGGGAAAAGGAGAAGCAGCAAGGGGAGGGGGGACTCTGTAGCTTGCCTGCTGCTGCTGAGCACTTTCCGGTGATACTGGCATCTTTGGATCTTCCGCCTGCAATCTTGTAGAGCGTGCAACACCATTGTGCTCAACACACTTTCTCCACCAGACATGAAAACCGAGGCTGGGAAGGTATCAGTAAAATTTCAACATTATAGCACTACTGGGTCCTGTTGGTCACTGCAGCGTCTTGAGGCTGAGTTAGAGGTTCAGGTACACTTGCAGCTACCTGTATTTCCTCTCTCTTCCCCTCTACTTCCCACCACTAGCCCTGTCTGGTTCTCTTCCCTTCTAGCTTGTCCCTCAACTCTCCTGAGGCAGCTTAGGAATTCACCTATGCCTTGCCTGCAGGATTCCAGAGGTCTTAGTTCTGACCAGAGTTATTGCCAGGTCTAGGGTCTCTTGCACTGGGAACCAGAAACTCCAGTTTATTTCTGGTTTCTACTGTTACTCCATCCTGGAGTCAGGAGGCAACTTCCTGAGTCCTATTACTGTCAGCACTGAAATGGGCAGCTATTTCTTTATAATGGCTCTATTTGAGAGAGCTACTTGTGGGTATCTGACAGTAGCATCTCCTAAAGCCACATTAGATGCTGTAAGCCCACAGTTTGTTCTGGGGCTGGCATGGGCTGTCCTCTTCATTCTGGGCAAGGAAAGGATCTTCAAATAGGGTAGCCACCCAAAGCTGGTACTGAAAGGGGCTGCATTGGTCCCTTCTGGTCTCACACAGCTAATAAGTGGGCATCATGTAAGGATCTTTGCCAAGGAGAAGGGAAGGACTTCAGAGTCAGGGAATCTTGGACATGCCAGTTTCTGTTTTCTCTGTCTGTACCTTTGCACATTTTGGTATCTTATCTGCATCCCAGGACAATTGTGGGGGGAAAAAAATCAGATCCTGCTTAGTGTGTCCTTTTCTGGTCCTAGTTATATTAATGACCCATCTGCTCTGCTGATCTTGCCTTAATCAAAGACCCCGCCCTCCCTCTCCCTGTCTGAGCCTCCACTGGGGCCTCCAGCCTCAGATGACCTGCTCTGGGCTCTCTAGTTACAGGAAGCAGAA